ATTATTAATCTTGTGTTTGTAATTAACGACGTCAAACTTTAAATTCATTGGCGTTTGCCTCAAAACAGTGCTTTAGTGTCAAGTATCCCTCTATGTAAATCAATATATGGAATTGTACCACGGAAACCACAGTGTTTTATCGACTAGTGATGTTTCTCTTACACCCAAAATCCAAGATATGTTGTCAAAATGGCTCTAGTATGAGTTTTTATATTTATAACAAACGATATTTAGTAATATTTCCAGCGTGGCTGCCAACAGTTCCGTTCAGCCCACAGCTAAAGAGTTACGCGCGTCTCTAAGCAACACACTGAATACTGAACGAATCCAGGGATTTGAACGAATCAGTTGAGCGTTTCAGTGGCCCATCCTTGCTTGTTCATGAACGAATCAACTGTTTAGAATGAATTCAATGAACGCTTCTATGATAAAGCAGTGATTTGCCACCACTTACTGGCGGCATTAAAGGCACAATATGTAAGATTTTTTTATTAAAATATCCAAAAACCACTAGAACGGTGTTATATATTTTGCTGACTTGTGTACTTACATTATCCCAAACGTTTCGAAGAATGTTTAAATCCAGAGAAATAAGCAATTTAACTAGTGACACGGACCGTGTCCATAGTGTCATTGTGTCGCCTGCCAATGACGTCATAACCCCTCAATTTCCGGTTTTGTTTTGTAGAAAACATGGAAACACCAAAGAAGCTTTAATATGTTGTGTGTTTTAATAGACCGGTGACGACCGCACAGAGTAGCATTATAACAGAACTTTCAAACGTATCTAGTATGATAAAACAGCGCTGCTTCCTTCCGCTACTTTCCGGAAGGAGCGGAAGCGGTCGACTGTGGCATAATAAAAGCTCCGCTGCTTTCAAGCCGTGTGTCGCGCTCATTCAGTGGCCTCGTTTCGCTTCGACGGCTTTCAGCCTCACCCTGCTTCATTCTACTACGTTAATAAATCATTAACTCATCCATGAACATGATTTCTGCCCAAGTCCCGTCGGATTGCATCGGCTGTGGGGATGAAGACGACAACTCCCATGATTCCACACTCAGTCACAGCGTCATCGAACTACGCCTTTGCTGCTTTGTTTATTTTGAATACGCTCCCTCTAGTGGCGAAAATTACATATTGTGCCTTTAATGTCATAGAGTAGGCCTATCATTTCATTTCATATTTCTATATTCCATTTTTTTTATTAATATTTTAAGTTCCAACAGAACAAACAAAACAAAACGGAAAGCTTAGGCAGACCTTAAATGCACAGCTGTCAATTTAGTTCTTATTAAGATAAAATCAAAGATAAGTTACAGCAATAGGCTTCTTGTTTTGAGCCATGACAATAGTTTTCAAGAACAATGTAGGCATAGGCAATCATGCAAAGTGAAAGAAACAGACCAAATAGGGTGTCTATATCCGATGAAAATTTTGGGTCCATTTAATTTCTGATATAAGGGGTGATTTGTAGTCAGCATATTATTTTAAATTGAATAGCATGGTATGTTACACACTGAAATTCTTTAGCGTGCTCCCAGACTGAATCCCAATCTTCGCTGGAGGTATTTAGTGCAAAATAATTTTCAAACATCTGTTAAATATTATCTGTGTCTCCTAGGATGGTCAAACTAAATATAACATAAATATGAGATACATATTTTTATCAATATTTTCTAACTTAGACTTATCGGTGAAGTAGTATTTTGCCTATATTCAAAATGTTATTTTTAAAACATTATTTAAAATGTATAATTAAGAAAGTTAATTTCTGAGGAAAAATGAACAAGGTCGTGTGGCAAAAATATTTGTTCCTGTTTGATACTGTGACTTGACTTGACCCTTAGCAGGACTCGACTTGACTTGCTTGATTTGTTTGTACTGTGGCTTGAGACTTGAACATGTGTGACTTGCCCCCACCTCTGCTTAAGAGTTTGAATGGTGATGTTTCAGTTTTGCTTGTAATTGCACTTTCCTTTCCTATTTGTTATACTCTTGAGGACTAAAATTAGATTTCTCTCTCTTTACAGTCCCTTCTAGATGAGCCAAATCCCAACAGCCCTGCAAACAGCCAGGCAGCACAACTGTATCAAGAAAACAAACGAGAATATGAGAAACGGGTTTCAGCGATTGTAGAGCAGAGCTGGAGGGACAGTTGACCACATTTACAAACCATGTTCTCACTGAAGCATTGTTTTCCTTTTGTTTGGCTCTGTTTGGGGATAGTTTTTCAAATCTCCATTTTTAAGTTTTTATGCACTTTACTCATGCAAGATTGTGATTTCTGTTTTATTTCTCTCCCACGTTTTTGCCTGGATTGATTTTCAACCTTCATTAAGATCACTGAAAGGGGAAATGCCCCTGGTGTATAATGCTTGACTCATTTTGCATATGGCATGAACATGCAGTAATTGTCAAAATGTTTGCCAAATGCATAAGCATCTCTAAAAAAAATAAAATAAATCAAGGCAGTCTAATCTGGATACATGACTCACTAAGAGACTTTAATCTAAGTCATAGTAGTGTTGATGAAAATGTTCTTGGTGCTCTTCGATTTTAATATCATGATTTCACTCAAAGAGCAGTTAAAAGTGTCCTTTTAATTTTGGTTTTGCTTCCATTTTTCTGGGTTTGTGTTTGTTTTGTTGGTTTAGTCACAGCTCTTCTTGGCTCTGCCAGAGGATGGTTGGTATGCTACCACATGAGTGGAGAGCATCTCTAGTACACACTGAAAACACGTAAGATGTTGGTAGACGGGTGTGAGGATTTATATAAAGTATCAAATTATTGTTGACAGAAAATGGCAATATGGCGTGGAGTACAAAATATATATTTACTGGTCGAAAAACTGAGGTTTGCTGGAATTACTCAGTTCAAAAATAACCTCCAAAATTCAGATGCATATTAACTGCAGTTACTTAATCTTTTCATGGCTTGCATCACAAGTCCAATCAAACAAGTGAAATAATGTCTTCAGGTCTTTTTCCAAGCCCTTTGCAGATGTATGCCCTGTTACATGCATGAATGCCTGAGTGTGTCCTTGCCTCTATTAATCTCTTGTATATACAAAAACACATCTGAATTTTGTGTACAGATTTTGCACTGATTGCCAATCTCATTTTCCAGCACTTGTAAATACTTAAATAAAAGGTGAAAATACCTTTGTAGTGCATCACTGATACTTTACACCTTATTTCATCCTTTCCTAGTCTGTAGCAATAGCAGAAGTCTTTTCTATTTACTAAAACGTAAGACTCTTTTCTCTTTCTGCTTAATATTTTTGAATTTAGAACACAAAGTTAGGTGAAACGGATCACGATTTTATTGTGAGAAACAGTTCTGGAAATCATGGGAAGTAAATCATGTGACATCGGAGCGCTAACGCAGCCATATAACAAGATGAACAAATTACTGGTCCACATTTAAGATGTACTTTAAAGCAATAGTTCACCCAAAACTGAAAATTCACTCACCCTCAGGTCATCCAAGATGGAGATGAGTTTGTTTCTTCATCAAAACAGATTTGGAGAAATTTAGCATCACATCATTTGCTTACCAGTGGATCCTCTGCAGTGAATGGGTGCCGTCAGAATGAGAGTCCAAACAGCTGATAAAAACATCACAATAATCCACAAGTAATTCACACGACTCATTAATGTCTTGTGGAGCGTAAAGGAAAAGAGTCCATAACGCTTCTTCCATTGAAAACGTCCATCCCCTGTTGTCCTCACATCAAAATCCACTGACATATTTTATATATTTTTACTGTTTTCACTTGTTAACATATTGCGGATGCTAGAGGACTAGTATTTTAGCCAGCAGGTAAAATTTTTCAGTTTTAAGCTGAAAACGTCTTGATGGATTTATTACAAATACGCAGCTTTTCGCTTCATAAGATGTCAATTGGACTGGAGTGGTGCGGATTATCGTGATGTTTTTATCAGCTGTTCGGACCCTCATTCTGACGGCACCCATTCACTGCAGAGGATCCACTTGTAAGCAAGTGATGTTATGCTCAATTTCTACAAAACTTTTCTGATGATGAAACAAACTCATCTACATCTTGGATGTATTTCTATGAAATTTCCATTTTTGGGTGAAATATTCCTTTAAGGCCTGATTTTTTTATAAGCATGAAACAACACTACATTAAGCATGGTTTATTTTACATGAACATATGTAGAGTTATGCAAGGCATAAATACAAAACTGATCATTGAAAATAGTAAAAATGAATTACACTTTTGTAATTATGAATTACAATACTGTCTTATGGTTGAATGAGCAGAATACTTCCGATGCTGTAGAACATTGATAACTAGGTAACTGATAAGTGAACCCTATCAAATATATCCCTAAAAGATACAGCTACTAACCAATGACCAACTCTAGTCTGTAACAACATCACAGGTCCTGGCCTCTCTCAAAACTGGATACTAAACTCCTGAATAGAAAAATATCACATGGCAACCAGGTACACCTGACGCTACCTGTTGTACGCTCGTTCTTTCTTAGACCTCTCTAATGCTTTGTCCATTGTCTTCTCATTGTCTCCTCTGCACTTCGGACAGTACCATTTTCCTTTGGGCTTATGGTGCAGACTGACACATGAGAAGTGAAACCATTCAATAGTGCATGCATCATTATCACAACCTATCATCTCTCCATAAGACACTTGCTCACACAGACAATAAGTGGGTTCATTGGGATCGATAGGCAGGTCTGTCGGCGATGGCTCCCTGTCCTGCTTGCTTTTCGACCTCTTCTTCTTCTTCGATGACGTGGATGAGGTCTTAGCCTTCTTCTCTTTCGGCACACCTGAACCAACCTCCTCATTGTGCTCCATGCCATAATTGGAATTTTCCCGGTTCTCCGAACCATTTTTCTGCCTTCGTGAACGCTTTCCACCAGATTTGTCAACTGAAGCCGGGGTCTCTTCTCGTCTCCGATCCACACTCGGCTTACTGACCGGGAGCATCGAAGCAGAAACCGGTGTCATAGTTACGGTTGTTATGGCACTGGGGGTGCTACCCACCGACACGGTGCTCTCCGGCGAGTCCTGGCAGGCCTGGAAAAGCTCACTCTGCCACTCAAGCTGCCGACTGCGATTGTCCATCATTTCCACCATTTGGCCTGCGATCTGGATCTTTTCATCTCCGAGTTCTTCTGTGCGGATCAAAGAGCGCTGGATGCAGTGAAGTAGACGCCGCCTCTGCATGGGATCTGATTCTTGTCTGTGCTTTTCATAAGCCTCGTCCAATTCATTGAGGATCTCTGCAAGATCAATGCATCAGGATTAATGTAATACGATAATAACGGCACAATGTTTACTGTTACTGTATGTCAGTCTATACACCTTTATCATTTTAACCTCCAATAAAAAAGACAGTAATCGTGACAACAAAGCTTTATTGTCTCAAATCAAGACGCCACATGTGAAGAAAACACATATTAACTAACAAATATCTCCATATTTGATTAATTACAGGACAATAACATTAAGTTTTCTGAAATGTTATGTTGAAATATACATATGTGGATTTATTAAAGTAAATATGCACAGATTTGCATACATTTCCAGAACCAAAATCTGAATTGGGCAAAACCAAATGCAAAATTATTTTTTAACAGAGGGGATTTTGGATAACTCTTTTCAACACAATCATGTTTGATTATGGGGGAATCATGTTTTAGGAATAAAATGTGTAATTACCAGGTGAATTGTATAAACACATGCTTCTTTAAAACCCTTCAGAATATAGATATGAATAAAACTCTAAAGTTTGGTATATGTAAGTGCTAATGAAGTGGAGATTTCTGGCTCAGTGCAGGAGAAAAAATAATAATTTTGAAAGATGGCCTTAAAATATGTATTGTACTTGAAATCTACAGACGCAAATAGATCGTGCATAGTCAAATAAACACGTACATGTGTATTTTTGGATGTTTTCTTTCCACTAGCCTGCAAAAAAAACATGTTATATTAGCAAAATAGCCCAAATCTCAAAACTGACCAGTGCATGGAATAAAAACAATGGTTTTGCCTGGAGCGTCTTTGCTTTAAGATGTTTATACGTCTAGACACAGTCGCTGACCATATGAAACTGTATGTGCTGTCTTTATAATATTTTAAGTACTATTTACACAGCACTAACACACAACTGTGATTTCAAGCTACATAATTATGTAACATTAAACAGGAAGTTTAGTGGCGCTCTAGAAGCTGCAAGACTCCGCACTCCATCCAATCAGGATGTGTATCAGTGCATGGAATAAAAACAATGGTTTTGCCTGGAGCGTCTTTGCTTTATGTTTATACGTCTAGACACAGTCGCTGACCATATGAAACTGTATGTGCTGTCTTTATAATATTTTAAGTACTATTTACACAGCACTAACACACAACTGTGATTTCAAGCTACATAATTATGTAACATTAAACAGGAAGTTTAGTGGCGCTCTAGAAGCTGCAAGACTCCGCACTCCATCCAATCAGGATGTGTAGTGATTTCATACAAACCTTTACAAATGTAAGATATAAATGACAAATAAATGTACTCTATATTTGATCAACTTTGCAGCTTTAACCTCTCAATCGCGCGGCGCGGGGAAACTTGCAAATTTCACGTGCTAACGGTTAGTCGCTACGTTAGCCAGCTAACGTTAGCTAGTGTGACATCTAACACCCGTTGCACAAACAATGCAGTGATTTTTTTTTGTACACTTCTGCTAAATGCAAGAGTCTGTAAGCTTTCACCTTGATATCTGGCGTCAGTTTCCTTCATGAGAGACACACATCGTTGTAGGTCCAGCGGCAAACTCTCGACCAGCTCCAGATACTCCTCAACATAGTTCACCACAACATGAGAAGACTCTGCGTTTGAAGAAGGGTTCAACATCTTTTCGCACGCATTAAAGAGGCTGGTAGGGCAATATGAATACGTTTCTTAATAGTTATATTATCCTAGGATCGTTTTTTAAAAATAAAGATCTGGGCTGCTAGAAAAGTTACTCAGATAAGTGTTTAGTGAGTTGTGCAGGACCAGTGACGCTTCTATGGCGGAGACCTAGCTCATGAATATGAAGTGCCTCACAGTGACGTT